TTTAATGCTGTTGTCAATAAGAGCTCGGAGGAAAAGATTTAGTTGCATTCTTGTCTTCTTTACATACACATTGTCCAAAACTTTTTATTTAAACTTAAACTTCAGCATGCACACAACTTGCTGCTCAGATCGGGGAGTTAAAGCGGTGAATAATGAGGGCAGGACAGGACTGTAGAAGTGCTTGTAAATGAATCTACGTGTGTGTTTCTCTGGGGGGAGAGCGCAGTGCTGGAGATGGCTATCAGGGGTCGGTTTAGGTAGCTGCTTCCTCAGAGCGTCTCTGCGAACCTGACTCTATTTAGCCACTGTTTCCTGCATGGTCGGCCAGGCTCTGCTGCAGCTTAGCACCCCCATCCTGTGGACATGGGATGAACTGCAGGGGGACTGAAGTGAGATTCATTTAGCCTACATAGTCCAAATGTGTGTGTTTACAGTGTTGGGCAAGCTACTTGATTTAATGCGTCGGTGCATGATTTGTGTAGTGTTCAGTTCAGTTTAGTTCAGTGTATTGAGCGCTTGTACATGTACACATGTTACAAACAGATTATAATACAGAGGGCTCAAAAGGAGTAGACAGAAGCAAAAATACTTATATGGGCTTACCCCTTTTAACATTGCTAGGTTGATAAGGTCCAGTGAACTACAAGCTACTATACCATAATTTCAGCATCACTACACAAAACCTTCCAAAATGTTGCAAGCTAAGTTACAAAATCCAGTCAAAAGTAGTTTGATATCAGCAATTTTAGTGATCAATACAGATAAAGGCTAAAATATGGTTAGATATGTTTATTGAGCAACAGCCCAAAACACAAGAATGCCTTTTGAAATTGTATATAAAAGAAAGTGAGAATAATGATAGCAACGAGCCATCAAGCCACAAATTAAGAAGGCAGCTGCTTAAGCTTCAGAGGTCTAACAGAATCTAGATTTCACATGCAGGTGGCGCCACCATAAAAAAATGAGTTAATAATTAGTAGCATTGACAACATACTGTATCAACATTGATATCTGATTTGAGAAGAATGGAACAAAATATATCAGTGAAAAATAATAGAAAAGGGTTTGAAAACATTTCTATTCCACAAGAGGCACAGTTCACTGCATGGTCGGCCAGGCTCTGCTGCACAATATCAATCTGGGACTTCTGCAGGAGAATCCTTTTCGGGGAAAGGAGGGGCAGGCAGCAGAATACTTCAAGCTTAAGCCAATCACAGAATTAATATGTTGTCATCGGCGTGCGCCTTGAGAGATCACAACAAGTTGCACTGGACTAAAATAGTTTTATTTGGATTATTATTATTATTCGGATTTGGATTATGACTGCCTTGTCATCATGTCTTTGAATTACTTTTGCCGTTTTTGTAACTCGAATTTGCGGAGTAAAGGCCACCTCGCTAACACAGCACAACATCCTTCAAAAAAGAAAGATTCTGCTAAAACTGACATGATAGCCTCAGCTAATAACTGGATAGGGTATTACTAGCTTATAGCTGTAACTTGTAGCTTTTAGCTGTCCCACCCATGGGCACAGGGGGCGCCCATGGTACGCCCCCTGTAGAACGGGTGGTAAGTCCAATAGAACTCAATGTAAACTAAAACAGCTTGACCTCAGCTGACAGAGAACCTACAGCTTTCATAAAGATCGGATTTTGTGGGGATTTTAGTGTCCCTTGTCATCCTGAACTTGTCTTCTTTAATCCTTCGGTTTTCTTTAAATCCATACTTTACTGCCACAAACTCTGCTCCTTTCCTTCCCGCTCTGACTCCGCTCTGACTCTGATATGATCAGCAGCTCTGATTGGTCAGAGCGTAGCCGAGCCCCTCTGTGCACGTGCATGACGGCCACACATGCGTATTTGGCGTAACGCATCACAGGAGATAATCCACTGCGTAGAACCGGGAGGACCAGACGATGCCCAAATATAGGCGAGTTCCTCTAATATGTCAGCGCCCATGAAGTCCCATGCGCTACTGAGCACAAGCCATTCATTTTAACAGGGCGCCATCTTGGATCACTGGGGCTTGGCTACGTATCCGTCCTGCTGGGTGGCTATGTTTGTTTTCCCTTGGCTCGGCGCTGCTTGCTTTTGTCAAACCCGTATATCCCGCCCTAAACTTCAAGACTGGCCCATTATCGGGTAGAACACCTATAGATTTTCTACCCAAGGGGTGTAGGAAGGAGCGGTACAAGATGTATTCTCGTGTGTTTGTGAACTCACGAACACTGCAAGAATTCAGCTTAGAGGCAAAGTTAACAGTTCCATTCCTTTAAAAGAAATCCTGGATTCAATTGATTAGGATCACCTCCGAAATATAATAATTTGTTCTTGATACCATTCCGGAGATTTTTGCCCGTTTGAGCTATGTTGTCAACTAAACAAACAAACAACATACCTCCTTGACAGAGATAAACATTATTTTAATCTTGATCATCAGAATAATATTCATTAAAAATATGACATTGGTGGGTGAAATTGGTGCGTTTCTTCCAGTTTGT